TCGAGCCTACTCAGCCTGCTGGTAAATCCGCCACTGCTTCGAACGCATACAAATTAATTACATACATTATTAGGGAATATTATAAGCAGATGGCAATGACATATCTACTTAAATCTAGTTACAGCCAAATATTAATGATACCTACATCCAGAGTTTCTGTAACTAGTGCTAGTGGAGCTGGGGTCCTCGGTTGTAAAGGGCCTTCAGGACAGTTTCAAGTAAAATAACCTTAAAAATTTGTAACGTAAGAGTGCTATACTAGTTGGTAAATTTCAAATTAGTTGTTGGAATAACTTAAATCTTTAAAATGACACATTACACGCACCTTTTAGCTCAGACGAAAGACAAAATGAGAAAATATTGGGTGTACTTTCTTTGGCCAACTGTAGTAAATAAAGAATTAAAAATATTTAACTATATTATGCTCTGAAATTTTTTTTCCCCAGTTATAAAAATATCTATTTTAAGACTCTTTAAGCATTCAATTGTAACAAATAAGGAAATGTTTAAATGTATTATTTATCACTAAGAATTAACTACTAAATACAATAAGTTGGCATGATATTCATGTCCATAACAATTAAATACTAAAACAATCTGAAGGATTTCGTACTTGAAAACAAAAGTTTACACGATACTTAGAATCAATAATGTTTAACAAGTTAAATAGTAAAACAATCTGATGGATTGAGTACTGCAGAATTATAAAATACAGAAATATATAAAAAAAGTTAATAACAAAACAATTTGATAGTTGTATAATCCAAGAGTTTGATGAACTTCAAGAAGTCTTGGATATTCTATTCCTTGCTGGTCGATCTGCTTGTCGAACTGGACAGTGGATTCAGAATCAGATCCATGCAGTTTTGTTAACCTCAATTGGAATATTTGCCCAACTTTTGCCGGAGTTTTTTCGAATATTTCTTGATTAACTCTTGATAATATTTGCAAATTCCTCAATATTGTCCAACTTGGGTATTGCAAAATAATTCGTTACTATAAAAACTTCACGGCGTGGGTACGCCGTATACGGCGATTTTTTGTATACAAAAAATCGCTACCACAATGGCTAATTGCGCAGCACGTTTCAAGTAACAAAATCCGGAATATAGGTATGAAGGTATTCACATTCAATGTAAAAATAACACGAATAGATAACGTATACTCAGTAATAAGGTACAGCCCAGGATATTCTCCAACATGCGTATGCACTGTTCAAAATCAAGCCTTTTGAAATACCTAATCAGAATTAGTTAAGGAAAAATAAGGTAATATGCTTAAACGAGTAAAGCAATTTACCTTCTCGTTTATTAGGCAGAAACGAATGCCTTAGTTCTATGGTGTATTCACTAACATCTAGATAAATATTCATACTTTACTTAATAAACTTGTCAAATTTAAAAAGATAGGCAGATTACCTAAATATTTAGTCAAAATCTCAATTACTTTTAGGTACGACAATTTTGCTTTTAATTTAGGTAATTCTTCTAAATTATTATGGCAAATTATTGAACTAATTTAGGTAAATTCATTTAAATATTAGTTACTTACTTGCAATCGGCTACGATCGCTAATACCGACGTTTTAAGATAAATATTCGCGCCTATATTGTCCTCCATAATGCCAAAATCAACGAAAGCTTAAAGACCTCGTTGTGTGCTATTGATATAACAACATAGTTAACAATTATTGTGATATAAGTGAAAATTTTGTAGTGCTATAGTTAAGTAATCCAAACTAAATGGAATTTCCCATTGACCCCAATTTATTTTTAACCCTGCAGGGTTGGGATTATTTAAAGGGTTCCGGTACTACATGTAGTACCGGAACCGCAGTTTTTAATCCGCCTAGGACGCAAAGATAAAGGAGTCCTAACTTGGAAGAAAATTCCTCTGCTAGGATTTTCACTAAAAATATTTATAATTTGCCTGAAAACTTAGCTAAAATCTACTTAAAAATTTAAGCAAATTGCCTTAGAAACAGGAAATTTATTCTTTTATTCTCAGGCAATATCCCTTACGATCTAAGGTGTATTATCTTTGAAACCTAAGTAATTTTGCTTAATTAATTGTATCATTTTCTTTAAAAATATCTGTTAAAGAATTCACTAATTTAAAAGGGGAATATTCCTCTAAATTCATTTTAAGCAATTTGCCTTAAAAAATCAATGGTCCTATATAGTCTAAAATTTTAGGTAAAAATTAGCTAAAATTTTGAACAGTGTGGGGTGATGAATCAAACAGAAAGAACGAGAAATTTAAGCCGACTTGCGTCAACAAATTAAACCTAACCGTGCGCAGGCGGCGTTTACACTCGTGAATTAAAACGATTGAAATGAGGCGATTACACTTGTTTCAAAAATGATAAAATTAAATTAAACATGACACGATACTTTTTAATCGTGACAAATTATTTTAAAAAATCTAGGTTTATCACTGTTGGGCTGGAATATCTTAAGATATTCCATAACGTTATGGAGCAATTCTGCCATGTGTAATTCTTAACCTATAATTGCTATAAGTGTACTAATGGGCCCCATGATTAAAAAAAAACTTACTAACAAAAGTTCGCTAGAAAAGACGTGTAATAAATTTTCATAACTCTGATTTTATATAGGGTCTTGGGTGGCGAAGGTTCTACTAAAAAATTTAATATGGTATTAAACACCTTTTTTTAATTATAAAAAAAATTTCTTAAAGAAAAACTGAGTCTAAGCAGACTCAGGGGCCCCATTTTATTTTGCCGCCCCGTCTTCAATAAAAAAATAGATTAAAATTATTTGATAAGGGTCCCAACTTCCTTTAAAAGTTGTGATTTATTTAAAGTCGTTATTTTAATCAATTTGATTTTTTTTAAAACGGTAAATCGCGAAATTTTACTCTACTATACATGTGCACATTAAAGGGAGAATGAAAAAATAGCTATTTACATACCATGGGAGGAAAATAGTGCTTTTCTTCCCGCGAATAGTTTGATGCCCGACGCGAAGCGAGTATTTTTGGTAATGCAAACATAACAGTTGTTATAAGCTGTCAGAATGTTTATCATAAATTTGAAAATCTTCCTACGTTTTGAAAATGAGTTCTAGCGCAAAATCTTGCTGAAGGGGAAAGAATAGTTGCAATTAATTTCCTTTCTTAAAAATCGAAAGGGCGATATGAAAATGAATATAGTTTGTTCAAAGAATGATTGGACAATCGCGGAGTAAATCCTTTTCCTACAAAATCAAATAGGGCTAGACAAGGTAGAAAAACTCTTGCTAATGTAAAATTGTAAAAAAAGTGGGAGGAATTTTTTTCTCCCGGGTAGGAAAAGAGGCATTTTCTTCCCTCGCTCGGGGGTGGAATTAAGTTTTCCAGTAAGGTAGTAGAAAAATACATTTTTGTGCTGATTTATGTGTAGTCAATCGATAATTACAAAACTTTTAAAATCTAAGACCCTACCATGTAATCATATGCCCTTATTTTATGGATTGAGCAAATAGGTAATCAAATTTTTAAATATTTAAAAAATTGAAAGTTGAAAAACTAAATGGATTGCATATTTAAGTATGTATATTGTTTTGTTTTACTGTTAGAAACTTTGTGCATGTCCTTTGATGCTTTGCTAAAGGTTAGGCTTTCTCAGCCTGAACTATAATATAACAAATGTTTTTTAAAAATCTAATATTTAATTATGTAAGATTTTTATCAACTATCAAATTTCTAAAAGAATAAAAGTGTTGACAGAAAATACCTTACTATTCATTCACTTCCCCTATGTATTTTGATTGTGGATTAAGCAATATTACCCAACAATTTTTATTGATTTTATCCAAGATATGCATCTTTTATTCTAAATATTCCCATGGTCATCCATAGTTTTAACATTGTTTCAAATTGATGTGAACAAAAACAAGTCTTGTGCGGTGCGCTGATGAAAGAAAACAAGGGGCACGTGCATAACAATATTTTAATATATGTGGTAATAAATAAAGCTTTGTTAGACGGCGGTTAAGCAAACGGTTACGCGTGACGGAGCGCGTGTCATGTGAAGTGGGAGAGCGCCCCTGTAATTGATATTTCCGTAATGAGTAACAAATGAAACGAAATTTACGCTACATTAATGCAATAGCACACGTATTAATAATTAATATATTCTATCAATAATTTATGTAAATAATTAAAATAATTTAGAATTTTATTTTGTTAAATGAATTAAACGCTACACGTTTAAACTTGTTTAAAAAAATTAAATTATGCAGGGTATCTCAAAAGTCGCGGTAAACAATTCTCCCTTCATTGATTAAAAAGATATACCTAGGTAAAGGCGCAAACATTAAGTTTTTAAACTTAAAAATAATAGGTTACGTTCAGTCTTAATATATACAACACACATATACACACAACCAATCCTAAAAGATATCACCCATGAAATTGGTAAACAATTCTCCCTTCATTGATTAAAAAGATATACCTAAGTAAAGGCGCAAACATTGAGTTTTTAAACTTAAAAATAATAGGTTACGTTCAGTCTTAATATACAGGGTGGCCGATTTATCTGAAGACATTGAAATATTTCGAAAACTACGCATCGGATCAAAAAAAGTTTTGAATAAAATTTGTTCGCCTGGAAGGGGGCCATCCAATGATACCAAATTCGACCCCTCACCACCACCCCCTGGGGTGGGGGTGGGGGCAACTTTAAAATTCTAAATAGGAACCCCCATTTTTTATTGCAGATTCGGATTTCCCAGTAACTTTTATGAAAAACTTTTTTTTAATTCCTGATAGATGGCGCTGTAATCGCAAGAATCCCGATTTTTGGGAATATCTTAAAAAATTACACATCGGATCGAAAAAAAGAAAAACTTGTTTAATTTTTTGATTTTATTCTTATATCAATGAGTTAACATCTATTTTTAACGTTACCCAAGAACAAGGACCAGGACGCAGTAGTTATTTGTTCTCATCGGGGTGCTAGTTTTAAGAGAGTCCCCCTGCCTCTCACTATTTAATAAATTAGATTAAATGTTTGAAATTGTGACCTTGAACTTCTAGACACTTATTTATTCTTTTTTCAAAATTTAATGATTGTACACAGGAGAGGAGCATACCTGTGAAAATTTCAGCACAAGCGTTTCTTATGCGCTGTATCATGTATTCCCGAGTTGTTGGTGCTTGTTGAAAAACCTTATCTTTTAGATAACCCCACAGAAAAAAATCCGGCGATGTCAAATCAGGTGACCTAGCAGGCCAATTAACCGGGCCACCTCTGCCGATCCATCGGCCATTGATATCACGGTTCAATACTTCTCGTGCTGTTGCTGAGTAATGGGCTGGGCAACCGTCATGATGAAACCACATAATTTGTTGAATGGGCAGGGCAACATCCTCAAGTAGTTGTGGTAGTTCATGTTCCAGGAAATTTCGATATTTGATTCCATTTAAGGTTCCATCAATGACATAAAATTCCACACCAAACGTTAACTGACCAGGGACGTTGATGTTCAACTTGTCGTAACCAGTGGGGATTGTCCACACTCCAATAGTGCATGTTATGCCGATTAACGGAACCATGGTTTGTGAATGTGGACTCATCTGAAAATAGTACATTAGCGAAGAAATTGGGATTTCTTTGTATTTGCTGAACTGCCCATTCACAAAATTCTACTCGCCGATGAAAATCATTGCCATGAAGTTCCTGAGGCAGTGAAACCCGGTATGGGTGATACTTGTGACGATTCAATATTTTCCGAATACTATCTCTGGAAATCCCGAGATCCCGATGTATTTCCCGAGTGCTTACATGAGGGTTATGTGGAACAGCTGCTATCACATTAATTTCATTAGCTTCTCCTGTGACAGTGTTTCTATACCAAAGGTATAAATATGTTTTTATAACATACATATTATGTATACCTGGACGCATTAGTAAGGTATAAATATTTTTAATTTGTACCAACATAAAAAAGGAATTAAATAATTTAATTTATTTTGAATTCCCTAACAATTCTCGTATACACTAATTATAATTTTTAATGGGAAATCCGAATCTGCAATTTTTCAAGATATTCCCAAAAATAGGGTTTCTTGCGATTACAGCGCCATCTATCAGGAATTTAAAAAAAGGTTTTCCATAAAAGTTACTTATTTTTTTATGGGAAATCCAAATCTGCAATAAAAAATGGGGGTTCCTATTTAGAATTTTAAAGTTGCCCCCACCCCCACCCAGGGAGTGGTGGTGAGGAGTCGACTTTGGTATCATTGGATGGCCCCCTTCCAGGCGAACAAATTTTATTCAAAACTTTTTTTGATCCGATGCGTAGTTTTCGAAATATTTCAATGTCTTCAGATAAATCGGCCACCCTGTATACAACACACATATACACACAACCAATCCTAAAAGTTATCACCCAGTAATTACGAGAAATAGTAATTTACTGTTTTTTAAAATAAATTGAAAATAAAAAACACCTTCTCGTAACCAAGTTTATTACAAAAAAAAAGATAAAAAATATTAAAACAAATTTTGTATTAAATAAATAACAAAAAATGTAAATATCTCTGATAATAAACTTTACGATAAATTAGAATTGAAGAAGAAATACTAGGTTTTTGTGTATTGCCACCTCTTGCATCAATGCAGGCATTGCTTTCTAATAAGTTATGAATCTATTCTTGGGAAACATTTCCTTACCCCTCTAAAACCGATTTCCATAAGTTCTCAATTCGATTAAGATCCGGTGAATATGAAGGCCACTCTTAAACAGTCACACCTTCCATGGAAGGTGCATTACCAAATAATTGTTGGCAACTCTGCTGGTAAATGAAGGTGCATTATCCTGTATAAATCACGATAAACACCTTTTCAGAGCCTTAAGGGTTGTAGAACTAATTCCACAAAACCTTGTACGTCTTAGGGATTATTTAATGGAAATCAAAGGAATTTTTTCACCAATCATAAAGCCACCCCAAAAAATTATACTTCCTCCTTTGCCTTTAGGGATCTATTTGGTCATCCATTAATTACGTGAGGCAATTTTGGCGATTTTTCGACTCCCCCCTCCCCTTGGTGAGATGTCGAGAGATTTTACTCAATCCCCTCCCCCCTCCCTTAATCTCACGTGAGATTTTTTTAAATGCATGATTTTAATGTAAATAAGTAAATCTGTGCTTGATTCCGTTAGATTTATTAAAAAAAAAACAATTTGCTTATTATTATTTACTTAATTTAACCCAGTTTTCTCGCAATTTTACACTGTTTCATTCGAAAATAAAAAATTACGTGGTATTTGCCGAGACCACCCTCCTCCCACGTGAGATTGGGTGAGGTTTGGCTCGACTCCCTCCCCCCTAAACACCTCACGTAATTAATGGATGCCCCCTATCGTCCATCTCAGAGTCTTGCTTGTCTCCCACCACGACTTCTTAAAATACGAATTCACCGGTCGTCTGATCGTAGACCAGTTCTGGATTTATCAGAAAATAAGACATTTCTGTAATCTTCAATTGTCAAAGTTGTTAAAAACTGTTAAGAAATTAAAAGTTATCTGTTTTAGAGTGGCATTCTTGTTCACCGCCTCTTAATCCAATTGAGAACTTAAGGAATAAGGTTAAAACAAGGATTAGAGCCGGTTAAAACAACCCGGCAACGCAGAGCAACTCGGCAACGCAGAGAAACTAGAAATAGTTTTAGAGGGGTGGAAAAAATTCAACAAAAATAAATAAATTAATTAATAAAAAGCATGGCTCGTCAAATTATATCTTGTTCATAGATTTAACTTGATAAATAAATAGATTGTTAATTTATTAGTGCTAAAATGCCAAAATTAATGAAAGTTATAGTTTCATTTTACTCTTATATTTTACCAAAACCGAAATTCTTGTTAAGATATATATCATGTGACACACAGTCATATTCTTTCGTCAAGGTAAAAACAAGCATCCAAGTATTTGTTTCTTTCAAATGCATAGAAAGTTTTAAAACCATATTGGCATCATAAAATAAATAATTATTTGTTAGTGGGAGTTAATTAGTTTTTCAAGTAAAATTAAAATTTGTCGATGGTTAGCTAGTTTTTTCTTCTAGGCGAGGGGTAAACCGCAAAATTAAAAATTGTATACCAATTAACAGCTAAGGAAAACTATCACAATGATAGTCATGATAACGAATGATAAGAAAAAATCAGAATACAACATCTAAATAACTTTGAACGTTGGTCTTGGTGATTTTTAAGTGGTTTAACCCTCGGTTCTAGGTCCAGTCTCAGACTGGCAGTCAAATTGTACGTGAAGAATTTTGTTAGTTTTACCAACTTGTGTAAAACAAAAAATTCTTTATATATATATATATATAGCCCATTGTTACTTATAATTATTATTATAATAAATTATTGACATCTTTCTCTCTTCAAAGACTGCTAGCGTATTTAATTTTCAAATCAAGAGATTGACACCCTTTTAGATTTATGATCGTAGTGAGAATGTGGAGAGAGTTGCTTGATCCACCTACTACCAATTTACAATATTATTGGTATCTGTATAGGAGATAACCAGCGCAGTATTCTGGTTATCTTACCTGCGAGCTATCTGTTTCCACAGTAGCCCCTGGTGTCTTAATATGGCTCAGCGTTGGCATCCGCCGCGGCGCCCGATATGAGCCGTGACCCGTCTGCCAAACCTTTTCTGGTGGGGGCAGTCCGAGTCCAATCTTATGACATAATATATATATAGCCTATGCGCAGATAGGGATTGTGGTATTCGACATAGTGTCTAGTACCCAATCTTACAAAGGTGCTTATGTACTAATATGGTCGGCATATATTGACCTTGGGTGATGGTTCTTTCGCATCAAGTCCGGTGTTCAAGCGTTCCGACCGACATATGATCACCTATGCCGGCCGGCACGCATGTGCACCGACCTTGGTCGATGTCTGCATCGCCCCATTCTTATCTGACTTATGTTTAATATGGTCTCTAATTCTCTAGTATAGAGGCCGCAGCGCTTGACTTAGAGTCTCACGCTCAATCTAATTATGGCTATCTATGTTATAGACTCCACAAGGAGTCTGCGGAGCAATGGTTTCGTCCCCCAGGGACTGGTGTGCATGCACACCAGTTTGGTTCGTTCGGCCCCGTTACTCTCTGCCCTATCTCTTATATGGGTATTTTAAAGTAAGATATGGGGGAGGCTTAACCGCTTTTTACAAGGGTGTTTAGCTGGGGTAGCATAGCATTTAGAAATGCCTTGAATAAGACAAAAAGTTTGTCTGTGTCTAAGTTTAGGGGGGCTTCAGTCGCTACCGGAGTTTGGGGCAAAATATTGGCCTTAGCTAAACTGGCGTAGGAAATATCTGTGGACACTTTCTTGGCCGCAGGGAAGTTACGGGCAGAAGGTTGTGTTCCTGTGGAGGTAGGGGTCGCCTTAGGGGCTTGAATATGGGTGGGTTTTGGGAATTTTGGACATCCCCGGTAGCTGGCTGGGTGAGAACCACCGCAGTTTGCACATACGGCGGGAGTATCGCGGGATTTTTGGCATTCTTTGGCGAGATGCCCTTCGCCACAGCGAACGCATTTAGGTGGCGCCGCGCACAGGTTTTGGGCATGCCCAAAACGCTGGCAGCGGTGACACTGTGATACGCCGCTTTTAGCTTTCTGGGCTTCTACACGGACCACAAGATTGCACACGTATCGGACTTCGTAAACTTGAGACTGTTCACGAGGGACTTGGATGAGTACCATGGGATACTTCTTTTTGGTCGCTTTATTGGTCATGTGGCTGATGGCCGTAATGTTTAAGCCTTGACTGACGAGGTCGGCTTTAACCTCTTCTAGTGGGATATCACTAGGAATGCCTCTGACGACAACGTGAAGTTGTCTTTGAGAAGGGAGAGTGAAACAGTGGTAAGGGATTTTATCGTTATCTAATTTTTTGGTTATTTCACGATGATCATTTTCGGTCATTGGGAAAATCTTAATGCCGTCCGAGATGGTACGGGCTTGAGAAATATTGAGCTTAAGCTTAGAGAATTCTTTGGATAAAGTAATCCAGTTCTCAGGCGAACGGATTACAATCGGGGAGATTTTCGTATTTTTTTTTGGTATAGGTTTAAGACCATTTACCTCGGAAGAAGAGGTATCCTCTTTGGGGATTTCTGGGGATTTGGTCGGAATCGCGGTAGACGACGCGTTTGAATTGCGACGTTTGGATTTTTTGGGAGAATCAGGGCTATTTGCGTGGGGGCGTTTTTGGCTTGGGCCAGGGGTTGTTTCCATGTCGGATACGGGAGGGGGTTGCTGGGCTGCCTCCATCACGGTGGCACTCGCTACAGCACGTTTGGCCGAAACCCGGGCCGGAGCTAGGGCGGCGGCCACGGCTACAGCGACTGCCTCCTTGATTTTGGCGTCCATTTCCTTTCTAAGTGTGTCTGCTTGGTATTTAAGGATTTCATTAGATTTAACTAACTCATCGTAAGCGATTTTACTAACGGTAATGTAGTCAGGATCTCTAGAAATGCTGAAGGCGGGTGATGGGGAGCGGTTTTCCGCGTCTGA